AGTTATCGAAGAAAAAACCACAATATATATAAGCTCCAGCTGTTACGAAAATAACAGGCTGAAACGTCTATATTTATCTTAGCCCCAACCCCCTCGTCTTATTGCCTCTGCTTTACGTTATGTGCATAAACCATGTGTTGACAAAGAGTAGTTGATGATAATGAACCGAAAAAAATACTGGAAAAAAACTACTGAAGTTTGAACATATTTTTGCTAATAGCAGTTTCGGCAGGGCATTCGTGACACTAGTGCGCTACGCAACAGTTCACTGGCAGCCAGGCATTGCGTTATTTTATTTTACGCTAATGACATGACTGAATGGTACCTTCGGCGGCGGTGGCGTGCATCAGCTGCTCGGTGTTGGCCCACTCGTCGGTCAACCTGCGAATCAGCAGGAACGCCTGGATCGGGTTAATGATCATCTGGTTGCCTTCACCGGAATTTAGCTCAGCCAAATTTCGTTGTCGGTATTCCTTGGCGATCCTAAAAACCCGACAGACATTGGAGATAGGTGCGAAGAGAAGAACAACAGGGGTAAGGCACAATTACTGTTCGAGGTGAAGGAGGCGACGTCTCTCGTTTGCGATGTAGCTGTCGATGATATCGACTACGGCTTGTTCAGTTTCCAGCAGGGCATCGACGTTAGCCATTGACGAGAAGAGTTCGCCGGTGGTCACACGGCTCGCCCAAACAATCGTCACCACCACACATAAAACGCTGATCATTCCTGACCACAGTTGTTCAACCGTCACAGTTATTCGTTTTGCCAACGTTAAAGTTCCTCGTTTCTACACAACACGAATACCACTGAAAGACCGTGACAGGCAGCGGAGCGAACGACCTCGACGACGACGACTCTGCTCTAACACTATGTGACACGGCGTCCACTCAATGTCGGTCGCCAGGGGTAAGTCACCATGCATTCAACACGTGCTGAACTATTCTAAGGGGGACGGGAGCCACCTGACGCCAAGTTGCGGCATTAATCGATCGTTCATTTCACTGCAACTTTCTGGCGTTACGGCAAAGACCCACTTTCGCCGTTGTTATTCGATGACGTGCTCTGCCGCTGCACTCTGCGAAACAGCAGCATCGCTAAAACATTTGTTTCTGTGCTGTCTGACAGTTGAACAATCAAACACTAGCTGTACTCACTGTTTTGTTTTAAAAAAAATACGACTCTCAGATATAAGATCTGAGATCAGTAAGATCGTTGACATCAACTGCTCTTACTGCGGGAAATCCGTTTGTGAATTCACTGAAGAGTATCACCGACGGTCTTGATAAATAAATCGTTTCGACTTAATGCGCATAACATGGAAAAGTGCTATTCTTGTACCGAAACGTTAAGGTCAATAACAGCTTTAAGTCGACGTTGCAACTGATTAAGCAAATTTGTAGTAATGAACGGCAGGTACATTGCAAAAAAAGTGAAGCTTTTATAGCATGATAAAATGATTATTGAGTGACTGTAATTCTGCTTTTCACGAAAGCATACATAAGAGAGGTTCAATTGTTTTTTGTTACGTATTTCACAGTGGCAGGACTTTCGCTTTGAAGTTGAGCTCCGGAGGTAACTAGTCGATTCCTGAGGAGGGCACTTTTTGTCACTACCACAAAGATCGCTGAACAAGAAATTTACTTCAGGTGCTTGAGACCGTCTTTACTCGGTCGGTATAGCATCAGAATCGGAGCCGAAAGGTTCTGGGTTGAGGCCGCATTCTGAGTCACTCGCCTTCTTATGAGGTTCTTCCTTATGAATGAATGAATGAGTGAGTTGATGACTGAGTGTAAGAGATGGGAGGATAGAAACTGTGGTTGTAATACGGCTGCTGTCGATTCTGTTTTTGAATATAACGTAATCCTGACTGTTTTACAAGAAAATGGATATCAGCACCGAAAACGTTAACTTCAGGCAAAGAGCGGTGCTAGAACTAGCATTATCAGTAAGTTTGCGGAAAACCGAAAGTTTGCTTCTAGTTGTTTGGGGTAACATCTAGGCAGACCGTGTCGTCGTCGTTATCGTTTTATCATGCAGCGCAATGGTCGCTCAGGCTACTAGAAGCAAGCGGAGCGACTATGCCGAAGGAGCACTATAAAGTGACGAGAGACTTCTATTCCCACGAAGAGTACCAAAAACTAGCAATTCGTTGATAAACTGTTAATAACAAGCTTAGTTTTAAATATATATATCCCTGAAAGGTGTTTCACAGTTTAGAGCGACATTGCTTACATAAGAAAACTGAACACTGTTGCTTTAAAATATCCTGTGAAAACAGGTCAGTCATGAGTCGAGGCACTAATATAATGCCAAACAAAATTTATACGCAGTGTAGATGCTCTAAAATCCCTCACGATGGAAAACTTTACTCTCTACCCCCCCTCCCGCAGCCATGGAAAAGTTTTAATTTAAGCGAAAAACTTAAGCTAACAACAATACAATCTGTTTTAATGACTTGTGTTTTGCCTTCACTGTTTGATTTTCTCCTTCTTAAATGCGCGTAAAAAATTATTCGATATATTGACCATGATCTCAGAGCCACAAACATACTTAAAAAATGTCCATCGTTTACATAAATGATTAACTAATAAATTACCATAAGTTAATTTTTCGTGCTATTATTTAGCGATTACATGTGTATATCATTTTTGAGGCAAGTTGGCATCGAGGCAGTCACATTACTTGAATTTTGTTGGTAAATGAAACAGTTAAGAAATAACGTAATAGTGTTGAATGGAATCTAGAGAATAAATAAAGCGAGGAATCCAACGAAACTAAACTGAAGCATTACTGCACAC